GTCTTTAACAGGACTCCTCTTTCTCCCTCTCCTTGCAACCAAAGCTTTTGAAAGTGTTGTCTGTACCTTGTCAATCCTTTCTTCACTCGGTATTCTTGCTTTCATACCAGTCTGATATAGAACTGAACACCATCAATCAACTGGCTCTGTGATTTATAGAATAATTCAAACAAGAACAGACACACATTGTTTTCAAATGCACATGGAGTATTTACCAAGTCAGACCTTATCCTGGGTCATAACAATTTTAAATAACTTAGATCATAAAAAGTATATTCTCTAACCATAATGTAATTAGACTGGAAAGCATAAGAAAAAACATAAAAACAAAATAGGAAAATCCCCCCAAAATTGGAAATTAAGTAACATGCTTCTTAATAATCCATGGGTTAAAGAAGGACTCTCAAGAAAAACTAGAACATATTTTGAACTAAACAAAATGAAAATACGTGTCACAATTTGTGAGATGTTACTAACACAGTGTTTAGGAAAAACTTATTACACAAATGCACGTATTAGGAAGGTCTAAACTCTTTAAGCTTCTACCTTAAGAAACTATTAATAGAAAAAAAACAATTAAAATCCCAAACAAACAGAAATAAGGTATGTTAGGATCAGAAATTTTAAGATCAGAAATCAATAATTACAGAGGCAAAATCACTACAGAGTCTACACACATTAAAAAGATAATAAGGCAATAATGGGAGCAATTTTATGCTCATAAATTCAATAACTTAGATGAAATGTATAAATTTCATGAAAAAAACAAATTACCAAGGTCACTGAAAATGACATATGTAACCTAAATAATCCTGTATCCATTAAAGAAATTAAAATCCTCTAACAGTCACATCCAAATTCAATCCAGTAATATATAAAAAACATAGTATATCATGCCCTAGTGAGGTATATCCCAGGAACTCAAGGTTGATTCAACATGTGAAAAATCCATCACTGTAATTCACCAGATCAATAGAGTAAAGAGAAAAAAAAACATATGATCATCTCAATAGATACAGAAAAAGATTTTTAAAAATTCAACATCCATTCATGACTTAAAAAAAAAAAAAACTATCAGCAGCTAGTAATAAAAGGAAATGTCCTCAACCTATACTGATAGCTAATATCATGCTTAAAGGTCAAACACTGAATTCTTCCCCTAAGATCAGGAACAAGGCTAGGATGTCTGCTTTCACCATTCCTATTCAAAATCATACTGGAGATAAAACTATAAAACTCTTTGGAGAAAATACAGGGGAAGAGTTTTTCAACATTGGATTTGGCAATTATTTCTTGGACATGACACCAAAAGCACAGACAACAAAAGAAAAAATAGTTAAATTGGATTTATCAAATTCAAAGTGGATCTAAGGCCACTATCAACATAGTAAAAAAGCAATCCATGAAATGGGAGAAACTATTTATAAATCGTATATCTGATAAGAGATTAAAATCCAGTATATATAAATAATGTCTACAACTCTACAACAAAAAATAACCAGATTAAAAAATGGGCAAAAGATGGGAGATGATGATAATGCAGGAGGCTATGCATGTGGGTGAACACAGGGAGTATATGGGATAGCTCCGTAGCTCTCAATTTTCCTGTGAATCTAAAACTACTCCAAAAAAAATAAACTTAAAAACACAAACCAAAAAACTGGGCAAAGAACTTGAAAAGACATTTCTCCAGAGAAGATACGTTAAAAAAAATGGCCAACAAACAGGAAATGTTCCAACGTCATTAGTCATTAGGGAAATGCAAATGAAAACCACAATGATGTAATACTTTCCATCTATTATCAAAAAAACAAATGATCAGAAAATAAGAGCTGGTAAAGATGCAGAGAAATTGGAACCCTTATATATATTGCTGGTAGGAATGTAAAATGGTACAGCAGCCATGAAAAGCAGTAATGTTAATTCCTTAAATAGTTAAATATAGAATTACCATATGATCCAGCAATTCTACTTCTGGATATATACCCAAAAGAATTGAAAACAAGAAACTGAGGAAATATTTGTATACCTAGATCACAGCAGCATGGTTTACAATAGCCAAAAGGTAGAAAAAAACCAAGTGTCTACCAATGGATGAATGAACAAAACGTGGCATATGTTATTAATAATATATACAATAGAATATTGCTCAGCCTTAAAAAGGAAGGAAATTCTGACACATGCTATAACATGGATGAGCCTCACAAGATATTTTGATAAGTATAATAAGCCATTTGCCAAAGGACAAATATTGATTCCACATATATACTCATACTCTTTGTTCAAGTTGCTATAATATCATAGATTAGGTAGTTTATAAACAACAAAAATGTATTTCTCACAATTCTGGAGGCTGAAAGTATCAGATCAGGGTGCCAGCATGGTCAGTTTCTAGTGAGGGCCCTCTTCTGGGTTGCAGATTGCTGACTTCTAGCTCTATCCCCACATGGCAGAAAGAGAGCAAATTAGCTCTCTGGCCTCTTCTTATAAAATCATTAATCCCAAATATGAGGGGCCAATCCTCATGACCTAATTACCTCCCAAATGCCATACTTCCAAATACCATCACATTGGAGATCAGATTTTAACATACGAATTTTGGAGGGTCACAAATATTCATTCCATAACAATGAGGTACCTAGAACAGTCAAATTCATTAGAGACAAAAAGTAGAATGGTAGCTGCCGGGACCTTTGGGGAAAGGAAAATAGGGAAATTATTGATTAATGGGTATAGAAAAAAAATTCTAGAGATGGATGATGGAGATTCTACAACAATGTGAATGTACTTAACACTACTGAACACTTAAAAATAGTTAAAATGGTAAATTTCATGTTATGTATATTTTACCAAAATAAAAAAAAATCATACTGGAAGTCCTAGCCAATATAATAAGGCACAAAAAAGAAATAAAAACTGAGAAAGAAAGAAAAAAAATACTATAATACTTACAGAC